CCCAACTCTCTTGCCCCCCCCCCCCCCCCGCGGCTGCACGCCCCGCCCCCGCTCTCTCTCCCCCACTGCAAACCTCTTGCTACCCCCCGCCCCCGCCCCCTCCCCAGGTTGTGGAACGACTTCGACAACCGCTTCATGAGGGGTATGTTCGGGGGCAAGCCCCACGACAATACCAACATCTTCGACGCGAACCCTTTCAACAGCGTCGCCACCAATAGCGCAGGCGGCGGGAGCGGCGGCGGCGGCGGCGGCGGCGGAAGCGTCGGGGGTCCCGCGGCTGGGCAGACGGCAGGGGGGTTAGGGACCGCACCCTCCGGTCCGGGGGGGGTTGTTCCGGGAACGATCCAGGGAGCGCTCCCGCAGTTCCACTTCAACTCCGCGCTCAGCCCTGCGGAGCACGGCGCCCTCCCCAGCTCTCCCGTTCGAAGGTGTGGTCGTGGCTCCGACAACAAGAGGGTACAGTCGACCCCGCTTTAAGGACACCCATCATTTTTTTTTTTTTTTTTTTGGTCAAGTGTCCTTCACGCGGGGAAGTGTCCATAAATTGTTAACTCCCCCCTCAATATTGTGTATCTGCGGGACGCCATGCTTCTGAGAGTTTTTTTGGTCCTTAAAGCGGGGGGTCGACTTAAAAAGAGTGTCCTTAAAGCGGGGAAGACTGTACCTTTAAGAGGGTACCTTTTAAGAGGGTACCTTTAAGAGGGTACCTTTAAGAGGGTACCTCATTGGCTGCCCACGGGTGCCCCCATGGGCGGTATAGCAACTCTGCCAGCAGCGTTGCAGAGTGCGGATGGTGTGGCGGATGCCGTCGACCAAGAGGCTCAAGTGCGCTCGGAAATTGCGGGCGGGCGCGAGAGCCTGACACATGGTAGCTCTTCAACAAAAAAAGAACGAGGAGAAGTGGCCTTCGCAGGATTTTTCGTATCGTATCATGTATATGTAAACATGTTGGATATATAAAGCGTACAATCGGGGTAGGGCTAGGGCTATAGGGAATAGGGTCTGTCTGCGTACCCCCTCCCTGCCTGTTCTACTTCCTCTTAAAACTTATATATTAATCGCGCGAAGAAGGCGGCGGTTCCAAGCGGGGGCTCCGATGTTTTGGAGGGTCGAAATCGGTTTGTCGCGGACCTCGACCCGCCGGACACAATTGTAGTATGGTAGTTGGGTACCCTCTTATTCCGGTGTAAGGAGGGGGCTCCGCTACAAGAGGGTCGAGGGCCTCCGTTACCACCCTCTTATTAGGAAAAATAAATAAAAATACACACACACAGAGAAAGACTACCCGTTCGAGATATACCCACATTCGAATGGGGGATGCGGTGGATGAATGGCGGAAAACCGGCTGGGTACTGGACTCATTTCGAGTCTATTTAGTGTCGGATCCACAACAGCAGTGTGTGGTAGTCTGTTCGCTGCATGTGCCATTTTTTTTTTTTGCTACGTATAAAAGGCTGGTATGGTATAGCGCAGGTACCCGGGGGTAGTGCGGCTGTCACAGATTGAGTAACCAAGATCGTTGGCTAATCCATTATATTGTGCGGGTGCCCCGCTAGGGTGCGGGTGAAAGCGTTGTGCGTGCGCACACATACCCGCACTATGTAGAGGGCCCCCCCAGAGACTTTTTTTTGTTTTTTGCTTTCTCACGTGGTCTGTTTAGGGTGAGTGGCGTTGGCAGTCGTGGGACGCGGCTTGTTTTGGGGGTTATTGTCGTTGGCACTGGCAGCCTTGACAGAACGGCAAGAGAGAGACAAGAGAGACAGAGCCAGAGGACAGAAAGACGGGGGGCAAGGAACAGCCAAAAAATAACAAGGAAGCACTCATGAAACGTCTGATTAGCCAAAAGATTCCTAGCCGGTACGTCTAGTCCCGTGACCTCCTCGGCCTATTGTATGCCCCCCTCCACCCACCCACCCCCTTTTCTCTCCCTGACTTTGTAGGGATGCGAGGTCAATCGCGTAACGACTGCGGCATGCACGGCCATGAGTACCCCCCCCCCCCCCCCCTCTCTCTCTCTCTCGTGCCTGACCCTCCCATCCCGCCCGCCCCGTGATCGAAAAAATGCGACGCAGGACCCAGCAGCAGGGCCAACACCTCTTCGCTCTAACGGAGAACACCGCGATCAACGCCAGCGCCGCCGCGGGGGGTGGCGGGGGCGTCGACAGGACCGACCACGGCACTTTCGGCGGGGGGGGAGGGAGAGAGGAGACGAAGGGCGGAGATGTCGCTGCGGTGCCCCCTAGGGGGGGTTCTTCTGGGGGCCAGCCCATCTAGAATCAGAGGGGGGGGATGGATAAGCCTTCATCGTTGCTAGACCGTTGACCGCGCGAGGGGGGGGCGCGGGGGGCGTATCTCTTGCGTTGATACGCCTTTTAGTCGTTGTTGGACCGTTGACCGCGCGAGGGGGGCGGGCGGGGGGCGTAGCTCTCGTTTTGACATGCCTTAGTTGTCGTTAGAGCTTTGACCGCGCGTCCTCGAGAAGGGGGCGGGGGGGCGGAGCTCATGTTTTGATATGCCCTATTTGTTGTTTGACCACAGGTCCTCTAGAGGACGGAGCATGGCATGAGGTGGGGGGGGCATTTTGGTGGTATTCGATGGCGCGGCTTTGATGTTTTCAGTACCGATCGGTGTGATTTTTTGTTGTTGTTTTTGTCAGGACCAGGGGGGTAAGGAGTTCGGCTATCCGCACGGTGGGTATTGGTTCTCTGATACATGCATACCTTACTGCCTTGCTTTGTACGCGTGTCGCGGTTTTGGTTGCACGGTCGTGGCCCCGATATATGAGGGTGCCTTGTAAGAGGGGGCTCCGATACATGTGAGGGTCGAAATAGGTTGTCACGTGTAAGAGGGGGCTTCGAGATAAAGAGGGCCGAGGGCCATTGTCACACCACTCTCTTATATCGGAGCCATAGCTTCACTGCTGTACGCTGCGGTGGGATATCTACTATTGGACGAAAATAGGCACGATGGAGCATGGAGCTTTATTGTTCCAGGTCCTGCAATGCGATTGATAATTGCAGTGAGTGGTAGTATTTCCCTGACAACCCTGAACGCTAACGTTAGGAGCTAGGTGGATGGGGTAAGGAGGAGCGTGACGATGAGCGGAAAGTCGATTGCGCCAGTTCAAAGCCCGCCAAAAATCACACCCAAATCACGAAAAAAAAAAAAAGAACGGTAGCAAGAGGGCTCCCCACGTGTGGTGCTCTGCTGCTGTTGGGGGGGGGGGGGGGGTCGGACCTTCACTTTTCGTGCTTGGTTTTTCGGAGTCTTGGTTTTTCGGAGTCCTTGGTTTTTTCTGGCCGGGGACGAAACTAGATCCCGGTTTTAGGTGTACTGGTTTGCGTTCAGTCCAAAAGAGTGTGTTGTGTTTGATTGATCAGTTCTCGGAGGAGGTGAGAAAATTGCCGAGGCGTAAGCTACTGCTTTTGTGTCGTGTCGATTTTTCCGTCCTTACCTACCCGCCCTTTTGTTGTGTACCCGGATACAGCAGTGTCAAGCTCGGTGAAAAAAATCAAGATGCAAACTCTTTTTTGTGTTCTTTTGCTGCTGTGCCCCGTTTCGTTTTTGTCCCTCGCCCCCCCACCCCCGGCTGTGTGTTTGTCGATCACGCGGCCGCGGTTTGTACCGGTATGGCATACGGGTTGTGTCCGTTGTGGGGTGGATTTTCGGTTTTCGGGGTGGGCAACGACCGACCCCCGTCGCATCGCGTGTACAGTAAGTAGCACACAGCACAAGAGGCTCCGATGTAAAGAGCGTACCCTGCAAGGGCCGTTCTAAACAGAGCACTTTTTTCCCAAATATTTGGAGTGTTTCCAAATTTGGAAACTTTTGCGCGGCGAGTTCGAAGGTAATAACTTTGGAAACTATCCAAAAATTTGGAAGCTATTATTGTACCATTCATTCCAAAGTTTTGAGGCCCTGGTGACTTCCAAATTTTTGGAAAATTTTCCAAAGTTTTCGATGACTTCCAAATTTAGGTATGTCGAATTTAGATGGCAGTTCGGCGCCAGGGCGGGACGGCCACGAAAACGTACACGTACGTGTGAAATTTAGCAACGATTTCAACAAGGACGCTTAGGTTGGTGTACATCCTGGTGACCCGCTTCATGTTGGGGGCCATTTTGCTCTTCATTAGCAACTCCTCCTGCGCGAGGCTTTCATTCAAAAGCCTTTTACGATTAGTGTAAGTTCACCTTGTTTCGACACGTTGGAAACGGTTTCAAATTGTCGGAAACCCCAACGAGACCGCGAATTCTCGACGAGTGAGATGACCTCATCAGGCGTTGTCGACAGCCAAAGGTCTTCGGATTTTCTTCTGGAAACAAACCTTTGAGTGGGAGGGAGACGTGTGTTCGTATGTGCAACCCCCGAGGAAAATCGAAGCATCGGCAGGAACGTGGACAAATAGCGGGAAGAAAGCAATGCGGGGGAGAAGCTACAGTAGGACATCCTTTGGAGGAGACGGGACGTAAGAAAGCGTGGAATCTCTCAGTGTCCAGCAGAAATCGTATCAGAAACTAACGTTAGTGTTCTGATCGTCGAGTGGAACAGAAACGTCTGAGGGAAAAGGATCACAAGTCTAGACAAGACGAGCTGGTTGCCCCCGACGCATGTCCACCAAAAAGTCAATGGAATTCTGGGTACGTGAACCTCGCATCACACTTTTCGCCTGGCGTTGGTTGGCGCCCAATCATTCTTTCTCAATATTGCTACGCGATTCTTATACTTGTTCCTGTCACTAACACAGCACAAAACAACAATAGGGTGGCTCCTCCGAGAAAGGGACAGACGACGAACATAACTACGTGGCGATATACACTTAACCGCCTGGCTCCTCAAATTTGCTACGAGAAAAGGATCGAGAGAATGGCGTGAGAACAACTACGAGATCACGACACCTGAAGCCGATCGAAAACGCACATACATGCACAATTACCCTTAAACAAGCGGAATCACCATGGGCAACTGCATTCCGTCGAAATGTGAATACGACAATACATCACAGACATACCACATCCATTTGTCAACGAGTGAGCGCCGGACGGGCAGAGAGGGTGATTGCTCATGTACCGAAGCCTTCTTTTTGTGCCTCCTTTCACCGGACCCACCGAAAAATATTGCGGTATTCACTGCCATCCTTCAGATTCTCGGGCATGTCGTCCTCCTAGTCGCGACCATACGCCCTACTTAAAAAAACCGGCGCCTCCTCGGCTGCTGCTGCTGCTGCTGCTGCTGCTGCTGCTGCTGCTACTGTAGGTTCCAACACCACGGAGATTTACGTTGGCTGTGACCGGTTGTCACTCCTGACATGGGCGTGTGTTATTCTTACTCACGCCAGGGGGGGGGGGGGTCAGACTACCGGAGCCGAAACTACCCGCTACCCCCTGGGCAACTTGTACTGTTTCTTATAGAACATTTTAGAATCGATGGTTCTAAAATCCCACCTCGCGGCAATTTGATGGTTGACTCGGGATACAGCTGCCGCTGCCGCAATCAAACAGGAAGCCAGCCCCGTCACACGAAATCGGATTCCTTTTAGTCTCAACGCCCGTAAAAAAATCAAACTTCGCACGCACAGCTAATAGTTGCGGCCTAATCCCAGCGGAGCACCGCATTTGTGGCCACCATTAGTGACGCCCAACGGGCGCAAACACCGTATCGTGGTCACCCCCCGGTTGCTGTGTGCAGCTGGATACTGTAGATAGCCGCACGCACGCTGGTCTCCATCATGCCTTCAAGGTTTCCAACATGAATTCTTCCACCTGTGGACGCAAAGGGTGTGTAAAAAAGTCGGGGGTTGCACGTTCCATCCGAGCATGTTTAACTACACGCCATACACATAACCCCCCCCGTTCTCTCGTGCAGAGAAGCTCTCCACTTAGATTGGACGCAGAACTTACGTCGCAAAGGTTCACCAGGCGTCACAAAAATATTCCCAGTACTGTACGCACCACTACTGTGACAATCTGTGTTTAAGCCAAAACATCTGGCCTGTGGCACGTTTTCAGGAGGCTGGGAACAGCGAGGGCAATAACGGTCACCGAAAAGTGCAGATCCAGGCATGTAATCAGAATGGTATGAATAGTTACTGTTCCATGCTCTTTCGATGATTAAATTTTGTTGAGAAAAACAAAGTAATTCGTACAACAACAAACAACCAACAAAGAGAAAACAAGAAGCAAAAAAAAAAGTTTGGACGAACCTTTTTCAAGTCATTGGGCATCTTGGTAGAACGAGTGGGCAGGTCCCACAGCACCTGCAGCGCCTCCGGTGCCGGAGGAAGGTCAGGCACCACCTGACAGGCGCCACGGGCAAAAGAAACGTATAGGGGCACCGTCGGCAAGAATCGTAAGCTTCGGATATCCAATCGTGGACTCACCCTTCGTTTTGCTGCGGGGCACCCCTGACAGGTGGCGCGGGCAAATGCAACACGTAGGGGCAGTTTCGGCAAGGATAGGAAGTCGCCGGATATCCAATCGTGGACTCACCCTGCTTGCTTGCTGCGCCGGTCGGGCATGGGTGGTGCAACAGCATCATGAGTGAGGATGCGAACGGGAGAAGGAACGGTCCGATGTACATCGCGCGTACCGGTGATCGTTCGCACACACCCCGAGCGACAACCAAATCAAGGACGAAGAATCGTTCAAAAAATCGATCGCACCCCCCGTGCGCGCTTTCTATTCGCGTACTTACGGTATCTGCTCAAGGCCAGCGGCTTCGTTGGCTACCCCCTCTCAAGACCGGAGGGTACACACGGATCGATCGGGCACGTGTCTTGGTAGGACAATCGTGGACGGACAGTAGAAATGCATCGCTTTAATCAAGCACAGACTCTCGTCTGTGGAAGAAGGTTGTTGTGTTCCAACCCAAACCCTAACCCTAACCCTTGCCCTAACCCTAAACCCTAACCCTAACCCTTGCCCTAAGAATACCATAAAAAAACTACTGACAAATAAAATAACGATGCGTGCCTTCTTTACGGCATCCGGGAACTTCGCCGGGTGCGCCGTGGCCAGAACCACCGTCTTCCCCTCCGGCATTCCCAGCTGCAGCGGTGCCTTGGCCCCCACGGAGGAATGGGGACACAACAGGTAGCTCTGGTCGTGGTGGTGGTGGTGGTGGTGGCGATAGCGGTGTTCCCATCGCAAGCACAAACACGCAGGCAAGGAGGGGAAGGGAAGTTGTTGGTTGAGGCCCAGCTCATGACACCACCCCCATCATCACACCAAGAGGAACCAGCACACTACCATGTTATCTCGTCAAGAAACCGGCTGTCCGTAAAAGGCGAAGACAGGGCATGAAGAAGAATGGCGTTCGGAGTGAAAGCTATCGTCACTAGCGTGTCCCTTCCATTCTCTTCCAGATTCCTTCTTGAGGTAAGCGTAGACGGATATTCTTTTTTGTTTCCTTCAACTCATCTCTTACCGGAATATAAAACAACACTAAAAAAAAGAGTAGATTTTTTGCGTACCAATACACGAAGAAAACAAACCTACCACCACTCAGCAAGTACTTTTGATCCTTGGTTTGGTTGTGTTCGCCCTTCCACCTGCTCGTCCCAGAATTGTTCGTAGTTCAAACCTACTACCAATCAGCAAGTACTATTGATCCCTGTTGGTTTCCTTTTAATCCCTTTTGCTTCGTCCTAGATGTTTGATAGTCCAAACCTACCACCAACCAGTAAGTACCATTGATCCCTCTTGGTTTGCTTATTGATCTCTCTTGGCTCGTCCCAATAGTCCAAACCCACCACCAATCAGCAAGCACCATTGGTCCTTCGGTTCACATTGATCCCTCTTGGCTCGTCCCAGATTTTTTGGCAGTCCAAGCCTACCACAAATCAGCAAGTACAATTGACCCCTCTTGGCTTACCATTGATCCCTCTTGGTTCGTCCCAGAATTCTTCATTGTCCAACCCCTATCACCAATCAGCATTTTACTAGTGATTCCTCTTGTTTTACTATATATTCCTCGTGGTCTACTGTTGAATGGTTTGCGTCCTCCTTTCACCTTTTCGTCCCAGAACTGTTTGATAGTCGCCAGGTTGTCTTCTGTGACCACCCTGGAGGAGCTGAAAGCCGACTGCGCCTGGTCCAGTAGTTCCCCCTCCAGCGTAAGTTGGCCTGCGTTTAGATTGGGGGGGTGTAGCGGGCGTACTCATACCGTAAGCTGTAAATAGGCCATTGACCACGCGCCAGGCCCTTGACCACGCGTCCTCGAGAGGGAGGGGGGCGTAAATGTTTGCGTCCCTTAAATGTCAATAGACCATTGGCCACCCGTCCTCGAGCGGGGTAGCGGCAGGTGGCCTCTTTGAGGCCATCTCATACGCGATTTGCGGCAACAGCAACAGCAACAGCAACATCAACATGTACAAAATATGCTGCCACATGATGGTTGGCGGCAGCAACAGCAGCAAAAAAAAAAAAAGAACAAGAACAAGAACAGCAACAACAACAGCAACAGCAACAACAACAACAAGTAGCAGCAAGAACAGCAACACCAACAAAAACAAACGGCGAAAACAACATAATTATCAACAAAACATTTAAACAACCACAACAACACATCAACAATAACAATAACAACAACAACAACAACAACAACCAAGTGGAGGCCTTTACCCGTTGCTTCGAAGCTCTTGAGCCAGCCGGCGAGAACCTCTCCGTCGTCGCCCGACAGGTGGAAGAGGTAACGCTCGAAGTTCGACGAGACGCAGATGTCCATGCTGGGAGCAAGGGTGGGCACGACGCCCTCCCGCCAGTACTTCCCGGTGGAGAAAAACCTGTCCCGTGTCCCGTAAAGAAAAATAGAAAAAAAAAAAAAACGAGATAAACAAAGAAAAAACAAATAAACAATATTACGAAAGAAAAAAAAACACCCGCAACTTACAAGACCTGCAACACCTTAGACCACATCCAATATTTACAAGTCGTACAAGTACAGCAAGAAAAACAGAAGCCAGTTACAAAGTAGCAAGCAAGACAACAAAGTACAAGTAGCGCTACAGCACGACAACAAAACAGTCTCACTGCCGTGTTTACGGAGGGTCATACGGTCGGACTGACGGGCTCAAAAATTCTGCAGACGAAGAGAATTGTGCCAGAACACGTTCCAAAAACAAATCACTAACGCTACATACCAAAACAGTAGTACAATAGAAAGCGTTTTCCACATCATGAACATACCGGTGCAGGATGTCGTTCTCGTTGACGGCCACGACCAGGCGGTCCACCGGCAGCCCCATGCGCTTGGCGTAGTACCCCGCGAGCACGTCACCGAAGTTTCCCGTCGGGACCGAGTAGCTCAGGCCGGACCCTTCCTCCAACGGCTCTCCCGCCGCCTCGAGCGCCTCGGAAACCTATGTATGCATGAATGTACGTATGCATATGTATGTATGTACAGTATGTAGTAAGACTGTAACAGAGTAGCTCAGGCCGGGCCCTTCCTTCAACGGCTCTCCTGCCGCCTCTAGCGCCTCGGAAACCTATGTAAGGACGTTGTTGATGTTGCTGTTGTTGTTGTCTCCACACCAAAAACCGTTCCGGTCTCCGGTCAGTACCTTCTAATGTCCGTACTCTACTCTACTCTACTCTACTCTACTATACTATATACTATACACTATACTATACTATACTATACTATAATATAACAGCACAACTGACGCGCACGCCTTCCGTGGTCACAAACCAACTGCTCCCACGAAAAGGGGGGCACCTTTCTAATAACAAATAAAAATGTATGTAAGACTGTGTACAGATTTGTAAACTGTTCATTTTTGGTTCGTTCAGGTTCGGCGGGCTGTTCGAGTCAAAAACACGTCAGCTGTAGTAGTGCCTTCGAAACCCTACGTAGCGTGTACCATGAATATGTGTAAGACTGTTTACAGATATGTGTAAAAAGTGTTCTTTGTTGGTTTTGGAGGTTCGTTGGGCTGTTCGAGTCAAGACAAACACGCCAGCTGTAGTAGTTCCTTGGCAAGCGATGTAGCGTGTACCAGCGGTGTCGAGTCGAAAAACGCTCAGTTGTGTGTGTAAGCATTTATTTTTCGTGAAAAAATGAGCGCTTCTTCGTTCACAAAATATTTCTTGTCCGCGGGCCCTGTGGGACGCTCACCCTGAAGTGCGCCCAGAAGTAGTAGGTCATCTGGGCCAAGACTCTTGCCCAGTTGATGGAGTTCACCGCGCCGAGCTTGACCTCCTCCCTGTGATTTTATGGTGAGAGACAGCGGACATGCACACACGAGCCACATGATACGAAGACGTGAAGAACTACACACACATGAAGAAATGAAGCGTGACACAAGCGCACACATGCAATACCGTAGGTTGCATAAGATACCACGCCCCCTGAGGAACGATTTTCGAAGCTCCGTAACTCCACGACGAAGGGGGTGCCGAAATCAAAGGATACGTTGTCAGAAAGATGTCGACGAGACGGTTACAACGCCGCGGCCATTTTCGGCACCGTCACTGCTTTCCTGCGGCGTAATCGAGCTTTGAAAATCGGTCCAGCGGGGGTGTGGTATCTTACGTCATGCAAACCTACGGTACACGCACACAGGTGACGCAAGCACACACGTGAAAAACGGCCATACGCGCCGAACGAGCCAGGGCTTCAACGCTCAAGGTGGCAAAGGGAAAAACGGAGGAGAAGGGGGCAGGGAGGGACGGGGTTGCGGGAACCATCAAGGCTCAGAGGGGAAGCCAGGTACACACACTCTCGAACGTTCTGGTCTCAAAAGCTTTTGTTCCAACCCGCATCTCTCTCCTTTTCTTGCTCGATCGCAGAAATTGAAATGGTCCCAGTTCGGCATAACAAACAGAACGGTCCATCGAACGAGAACAGTAACCCGCAACAACGACAAAAAAAAAAAAAAGACACTGGGCACGCAAGCTCGCACGCTAGCCTCCTGATAGATGTGTAAATAGGTTTATTTGTTTTTCGTTGAGGTTCGCCGGGCTCTTCGAGTGAAACGCACGTCAGCTGCATTAGCTGTCGAGCTCGGAAAACACCACAACCGGCAGCTGCAGCCAGCTGTGGGCTGGTTCTACTCCTTGCTTTTGTTTTCATCTTGCGAAAACAAAATACCAGAAGAAAAAAGCCCCGATGTTCTACCCCCCTCCTGTGTGACCCTGGATGGTTGTACTTGTACGAAAATATACACCGAAAAGGTGTCGTACTACTCTACATACACTGAAAAAGCGTAGTGCACGTCTCACCACGAAAAATGTTGAGACTGTGGCCATAATAAAAAGGATGAAAACACACACACATTATTACCCATCCATGTGCTCTCATTCGCCCACTCTGAAAGGATCACTTTGTAAGGAGTATCAAAAACAAACATTTTCACCCATGTGCTCTCATTCGCCCACTCTGAAAGTATCACTTTCTAAGGAGTATTCAAAACACACATACGTGCCCATGTGCTCTCATGAGCCCACTCTGAAGGGATCACGTTTTAAGGAGTATGTACAATATTCAACCTGAAGGGCTTGTCTGCGAAGGCGGCCTTGACGATGTCCTGGCAGTCGTCGAAGGACCCCTCCACGCTGACGCAGTGGATGTTCGCGTCCGGCACAGTCGTCATCTGACGCTCCTGGATCTCGCTCACGCGCCCCTCGGGGAACATGATGAAGCAGTTCACGTGCGCCTTTCCTCGCAGGCCGTAGATGGCCGCCGAGCCTGCATTGGGAGGAAAACAGAAATATGCTTATTATGTCATGCCTGAATGTATTCCACTCTGCGCCTGGACGAAGATGGCGGCCGAGCGTGGATCGGACGAAAACAGAAAAAATTGGATTGTATCGTGGAAAAAAATGCTCCAGTATTTCACCTCTGTGTCTGACCGTAGATGGCGGCCGAGCCTTCCCTGAAAAAAACAGTCCCATAATTAATGATCACATGGCTAAATATACTTCAATCTTCGTCTGTCTGTAGATGGCGGCCGAGACTGGGATGGGATCAAATATTCACTTCGAAGAGGCAATGAAAAAGGGCAATACATGTGTTTCACTATTTGTCTTGTATCGTGGGCCTTGCCCCGCAGGCCGTAGATGCCGGCCGAGCCTGGGTTGAGATGAAAGCAAAAATTCAACGCTATCATGACTAAATACACTGCAATCTTTGTCTGGCTGTAGAAGGCGGCCCAACCTTCATCGAGACCAAAACAGTATTGATGAGCGATATCATGGCTTAATATATTTCACTCGTTATCGTGTATGTCATGATAGGCAAGATATCTTTCAGCGATTTCCGTCTGTTTTTGGCGCGAGCACTATGATACACACTTGTCCCCCCAAAAAAAAACTTGAACAACGAGAGGGGAGGGAGACTGCCACGCTTCGTCACACAAGCAAACGAGCAGCATCATATGCAAAAGGGATAAAATACAATTTTGCCTTTTTTAAAGATGATCGTATTTCTGTAATCTTTGATGTTTTTATATTACTGTGTATACATAAATCAGTATAAAGAATGACGGGCGTACTCATGTTTTGAAAGTCTCCGTTAGACCATTGACCACGCGTCCTCGAGAGGACGGAGCACGGGGGGGGTACTCGTAGTCGTGCATGCCGTAGTCGTTAGACCATTGACCTCGCATCCCTACAAAGCCGGGACGGAGCACGCCGGGTTCTCACCGGGCCAGGCTTTCACATGACCAAGCGCGAAGCGACGTGAGGTATTCGGTGAGTCGCATGAAGGGTGCGCTGCATCCTGCTAAGAGTGTTCGGCATCTCGCGCTTACTTCCTTGCGTACGGATGACAGCTGCGTACGAGTTAATTTATTTTCTGGTGCTTTCCCTTCCAGAGACAGTTGTAAGCACTGTGTACCTGCCTCGAGTGTGCTTGGCCAATGTAACACAACGTGGTGCGATCATTCCCCTTGCGCGGAGTGAGGGTTCTCGACACCGCACAACATGATCTACTCGACGACCATTATGGTTACCGCCAAAAAAAAAAAAAAGGCACACAAAAGCGGTAACCTGGTTGCCGAGCTCACGAAGTGATCGGCTTGTTTTACAACGTCGTTGCCAAGTGACGAAAACCCAACACCGATGGCAAACAACGGGGGGAGGGGGGGGGGGATTCGCCACTGTCCAGGGCGGAGGACAAACGAGCAACGTCTTGAGAATCTAAGAATATGCTCAAAAGCAAAGTCTCAAAAGAGTACCGGGAAGGGGCGCCGTTCGCCTCTGAGGGGGGCAGGGGGGAATCCACCACAGCCCAGGGGGTCGCCGCTGCCCAGGGGGGGGGGGGGGGGGG